AAATGGAAAAATGCTTCCTCATTGATGAGAATACCAGGATGCTCCACCTGTCAGGCCTAACATGGATGCAACTGCAGAAGCCTGAGACATTTTTGATTCTCCATGTGTCGCAGACAAGTGTCAGACATACTGATTTGCGCAGGAAACCATAGAGCACACTCTCTCGGGGGACAGCCCTCATCTTAACGGGGCTGAATGATGGCTTAGAATGACAGGGGTAGGAACGATTATGTCTTGTTGTTCATCGACCCAGGCAGATCTTGTGCTAGGTTGCTGAGAACTGCCACATTAAAATAGCATTTGAAATTTAAATTCCTTATAAAACAGTGAGAAAATATGGGTCAGAGAGCTGCTAAGAGAGATGCTAGGGAAGGGGCTGTCACTAAATCACCCTGAAGACTTAGAAGTAACTAAAAGAGTCTCAAGAAAGTGGTCATCATTAAAAAAAAAAATACAGAACATCATTTAAGAATTAACGTGTTATGAGCTACTAATGGGGTCCGGCAGTCCCTATCTGTATTTTTATCTCCAAGTATGATTGTTACCTTTGAATTGAGGAAAGGTTAGTTTTGTTGTTCTGATAGAGTTGCAGTATGGGACACAACTCTTGATGTGATGAAGAAACTAATCAAAATTTCGTGCTATTTCTGCATTGGGGTTTTTATCTTGCAGACTGAGAATTATCCTGTACTTGACCTGAATCTTGTCATGAACCTTGAATTCATCTCCCAGCAGACATTCTGTACATTTCCACTCTTGGGTGGCCTCTGACTCTTGCATGGGTCCCCTGGCCCTCCTGAGAAAACCCTGCCCTTCTGCCCCTTGGTCACCCTCTACCCTCTCCAGAGCTTACTCCAGCTGTTTCCCCTTCTTGTTTATCTGGCTTCAACCTCTGGCTTCTTCTAATCAGCCTGTGAGATTACATATCTAGGCAAAAGCCCCAGTGGGTTTTAGAGTCCGTTGGCTCCAGCTTTTCCTCCTGTGTCCCTCAGCATCAGCTTCTGAGAGGTGCAGCCCACACCAGTGTCACCTTGCTCCCCACCATCGCCCTTTTGCTGAATGGATGTTGAAGCTATTTTCTCAGGGACCTCTGATGATTCCATAGCAGTTCTCTGTTCCTCCACTACCCTAGAGTAAGGTGGATGCTCATCTCTCTGAGCGTAAGATCAGATGCACATATTCCCCCTGATCACCCACCTGAGAGGCAAATTGGACTTTTCTGCAGAAAACTTCAGATATGAAAAGGGTGTGGAACAGAAAAGGAATTCCCAGCCAGGAGTGAACAGGACAACCTGCCACCAACAGGCGAGTGGCACCTACGTAGGAGAGAAGTGAGAATGACCAGGTCCCTTAATAAAATCAAAGGTTAAGAAACCAGATATGTCTTCTCCCCTTCCTGTCCACATAGCATCCAGAGTATTCGCATGCCAACACAGAGGGATCATCTTAAATAGGCATTGGTTTTTATAGCCTGGGCTGGAGTTGTCCCTCCAAGCCTAGCAAGATGTGCACAGAGCTGCTCTGAGCATGTCCACAGCTCTTCCAAGACATCCTCTCCTAGAAGATGCCATGGAGGGAGTCTTGGATGTGGTGTGTAAGAGTGAGCCCTGCCAGCGGGCTCATGAAATGAGTTTTGTTTTATAAGTTCCAAGCTCGGCAGCAGAGTGGGTGGCTAATTTCCTGACTCACCTATTCAACTCATTTGTGGTCCTGACAAAATGCTCCTCCTTGCAGGACACACTGCCTGGCTTTATTTCCAAGCTGTTCCATTTCTTCACAGGGTAGATAGGAATGCGCCAAGTCAGAGCCTTTCCTTTTGTGTGGGATATCGTTTATGAAGTGGAGTTCAGTTCTTTCTTCAAAAGGAATTGTGGGAATGTCAGAGCAGTTTTGAACTAAACTGAATGTTTAATTAAAAGGCTTTCCCCCAGAAAGGCTTACAGCTCTCTTTGGAAAAAATGCCAGAGCCCATCCCCATAGGCCAGAGTGGACTTCATAACTGAGGACGTGGGGGAAAGGAACCCAGGGTCTTACATCTCTGCTTGTGAGCCTAAGAGACCTCCCCAGAAGTGGAGATGAACAGCAAGTCATTTTCAGTTCTCAAAACCACAAATGAACAGCTATAGAGACTAAGTCAACCACAGAACTGCTGTGATAGAATTTTCTATTAAAGAATAACTTGACTATTATTTCACAAGATCCTAGCAAAAGGAAAAAGCTGTTAACTACACCCCCAATTGAAATCTCTTTGTTTTGGTGAGATGCAGGGTCTTGACTCTAACCTAGAAGGAGAAAGAGATTATTCTGCAGAAGTATTGCTACCAGCCACCACTACCACTGCAGAGGCTGAGGGTTGTGACAAATGTCAAGAGCTACACACTGGCAGAGTAGGTCTTTGCCATTTTACCTGGCATGATTAATAAGACTATTTCATTTGAGTAATGAAATTGATTCTATGCCCAGTTAAAGAAGATGAGGTCTAGCCAAACGCCATGCCAATTCCTGATTTCTTTCTTCTTTTTCTTTCTTTTCCTTTTGATTCTTGCAGTTGTATCTGCTCTAAAAATAGATATTTTAAAAAAATAAATGAATAAAATATTTATTTTTAATTGACAAATAAAAGTGACATATACTTATGATATGCAACATGATGCTTTGAAATATGGTTTGTGGAGTAGCTAAATGAAGCTAATTAACATGTGCATTATCACATATGCTCACCATTCTTTTTGTAGTGAGAACACTTAAATGACACTCTCTTAGAAATTTTCAAGTGCATATTACATTGTTTTTAAACACAGACACCATATTTTACAGTAGATTGAAATCCAGAGTCATTCCTTCCTGTCTCTCAAGACCACTGATTCTCCATCCCAAATACCTTGGGAGTGTTGCTCCCACCGTGTCCTCACTGATACTACCTCCTGTTCATCCACCCATGAAGGATTTACTGTGTAAGCCGTGCTAGGCTGTGGTAGTGATACACAGGGAGGTGCAAACCAAGGACTAAGTAAAGTGCCAAGCACTGTGGCCACTGGTCTATCAGCACCAAGGAGCCGGATGCATAAGATGCACAGGGCAGAGCATCCTGTGCAGGAATTTGGGGGCCTGAATACAGGCCTCCTCCTGTCCTGGGGCAGCGCCTCTATTAATGGAACCACTGGGAAAGCCTCCAGCCACATGCCCTTTCCCCAGCCCTGCTGCCTGAGCTTTATTTCTGAATCAGACTCTCTTATTAAAACCCTTCTGTGATCCCCTCTTGTGGCAGGCTGGGGGAGCTTCAAACTTCTTGATCCTACTTGTAAAACCTACAAACTCAACTTGCCTTTCTCCCCCCACCCCAAGTAGCACTGTCTTACACCACCTACTTACTATCCTCCCAGTCCAGGAAATAGGAAAGAATGGAAATGAAAATCCCCACTCTGCCTTAAAATGTTACCATCAGTCTCATTTTCAACCACTCTCTTTCACCCGCGGCAATCAATCCAATGGATCATTTTCCTAATGATTGCTGTTCACACTTTGCATAACTCTTTCAAATATCAAGGCACTGAATAGCTTTGATGAACACAGATAATCAGCGTGTGATTATTTACTGTCCTGAAGTATTCGCAGAGGCTCGAGGCAAGTGCAAGGCATATAGTACCGTGCTGCAGGCCACCTGAAACAAGTTCTGCTCTTAGGAATCTTGAGTTTGTGCTTCTAGATGATGCCATCTCAGGAGAGAGTAAGATCTGGGGGCCGACACCCCCTCCTTCAGAGGAGTGGGCCAATGCAACAGTATTTATTCATTCATCTATTTTGTGATTTGTGCATTAAACAGTTGCAAGTTAGTTAAATTCTGTGTTGTAAACATCCCCAGGGATCTTCCAGTCCCTTCTATGTTAAGTTTGTGATTTGATCCAAATGCTAGGATCTTTTTTTTTTTTGAAAACCACACAAATTTATTTACTATAAGAGTTATGGGACATGAGAACCTTTATAAGGAAATAAAGACCTGAAGAAACAGTTACATTTTTTTAAATAGTAAGTTTGATGAGAATCCAATGGTCATAGAGAACAGTGACAGAGCAAAAGTGTGATCTAATAGTAATAAGCTGGGGAGGCGTTAGCAAGGCCTGTTTGCTCAGGTTCTTCTCAGTGACCTTTTGTCTCAGAGATAAGGATGCTCTTTTTCTCAGGTATAAGAGAACACCTCTCACCTGAGCATCTTATGACTTGCTTTGGAGAGATGAAAAGAG